AGTTGGGGGGGGGGAGGGAGATTGTCATTCATTCCTTAATTCCCTCCTCTTTAGGCTTCGATTGGCAAAGATGAGAGAGGCAGAAGCAGCCCAGGGCCAGGCAGGTAAAGTACCCCCCCACCCCCACCCGGTCCATCATTGTAACTCTGGGCTTCTGGCCCCTGGTGACCTGTACCCCTCGTGTCCAGCTTCATTGATTAATTCTATTATTTATTCAACAAATATGTATGGGGCGTGTTGGACATGCTGGGCCTCAAAACAGAGGGGGGGGAAAGGCAAAGGCTGTGCCCTGATACCTCAGGTGTTGCTTCCACCCACGCCAGTACCAGGACCGCCCGGGGGTCCCCAGCATACTCTCCTGAGCTAGGGGCCCAGCCTTCCGGGCTCCCAGCCCTTGCTCCCTCGCCTTAGGAGACGAGACATATCTCGACATCTTCCGTGACTTCTCCCTTATGGCGTCAGACGACCCCGAGAAGCTGAGCCGACGTACTCATGACCTCCACACGCTTTGATTCCAGGCTTTCCAGGGCCCACGACCCCCGCCTGCCCTGTGCCCATTAAAACCTTTGTGCTTGCCCCACCGGGCGTGGCTTAGTGGTTGAGCGTCGACCCAGGATCCAGGCGATCGGGGTTCGATTCCCGGTCGGGGCACATGCCCGGGGTGCGGGCTCGGGCCTTCGGGAGGCAGCCAGTCAATGACTCTCATCATTGATGTTTCTATCTCTCTATTCCTCTCCTTTCCTCTCTATGAAATCAATAAAGATATATTTAAAACAAACAAACAAACAAAAACCTTTGTGCTTTGCTCTTGCCTTCCTAGTTCATTTATTGGGCTCCACCTCTGGCCTGCAGGGTGTTGGGCGCTGTGGCTCCCGGGGTGCGAGTGGATAGGAGTCTGTGAGCTCCAGTCACACTAGGAGCAACTCCCAGGGAGTGAACTGGAGGCTGTGGCCTCAGCCCTAGCACCGGGAGGCCCTGGGGCAGGGCTCTGGGGCTCAGGCAAGGTGGCCAGAGCCTTCGGGCGGAGGAGAGAGGCTGCTCCCGCGGGCTGGGGCCGGCCTTCCCTTAAGGGGGCGCCGGCGTGGGGCGGGGATGGAGGGCTGGCTCGGCCACCCCGCCCTGCGGCATCCCGGGAATGCGGCGGCTCAGCACCCTCCCCCTCGGGAATTCCGGACGGGAGAGACGGGCGGGGATCTGCGGGTCCCCAGGCTCCCGAGGGCCACGCCTCTGCTTCCTCAGGGCGGCGGGGCTGGGGGCTCCCGCCCCGC